TTTTTTTTTTGTATCAGTGCTTGATAGGCAAAGAAACAATTTTTTCTGGCCCATTTATAAGTTATATAATTAAATTTTTATTACAAATTTTTTCTGACCTTTCATTAAATGTTGGAGAGAGAAAATATATTGTTAAAACATGTTTAATAGGACAAAGTTGATATTTTATTAAATTTTTAGATAGAGTTAACGAGTTTTAAATTTTTTTTTTAATTTTGGTAAAATATATATTGAAAGTGACTTATAAATAAAACTAGAAGAGTACTCCCTTTAATCCTATTTATAAATTACTTTAAAATATGTTTTATCAAAATTAAAAAAATTAAATTTCATTAACTCCATAAAAAAAATTTTAACTTTAACTGTATTAAATATATATGTTTCAACAATAAATTACCCTAACATTTAACCGAGTAAAATGATAAATATAAATATAATGATAACTAATTAAAATATTTTATAAATAAAATCAAAATAAATATTTCTTCCACCTTAAAAATAAGAGTGGAGGAGCATTTTATTCAATTGAACGTGGTTTGGGCATGCGGGCGCCTAATGGAGGGAAAACAACAATAATTAATTGATTATGAAATTGAAGAAGCTATGGATGGGGCCTCCGACGACTAAATATAATTGGTGGGAGGGCATCCAAATTATGGTCTTGTCAGCCGCATGTGCCGTCCACACACACATTCTCATCCATGTGTGCATAATATCCTGTACCCCTATTCATGTAAGCCAACCCCGTGCGTTCATTTTAATTTGCACATCAAAGCAACGGGAGATGGATGAGGATGTATAAGCGGGTCAACCAAAAAAGTAACATACCCCGCCACTGAGGCTCCGAATTGATCCACGGCTTCCGCGGTGGTCAAGCTGTCACTTGCTGTTTAATTGCTGGCCACTCTATGCATCCATCAATCCCCTTCCATCAACTATATATTTAATGCCATTCATTCAATTCCAAGTCTCATTCCACTGATACAGTTCACCCGAAAATTCAAACCCCGTATCATGAAAATGAAGAAAATCACGGACACACAACAGCAAGATATCATTTCAATGCTTATTTGACATCCATTGTTGTTGCGTTTAATTTAAACCATTTCTTATTCTCATAAATGTTTCTCTGCATTTACACAAACTCAAGCTCGGAACATTATGCTTAAACAGTTAGTAGTTCCCTCTACAATGATGAATATAATTAATGCCAATTAGTAGCCGCTTGGCTTTGATCTTGATAACGTCTATACAATATCAATAGAAGCTATGCGCCTTTTGTAAATTGATTACAAAATTATAAGCACATATAGTTTAATCTGTCACGTACACACTTGGTCTTAGTAGTCATGCATTGTTAATTTGTCTCGGCCCTCTGAAATGAAAAGGGAAAAAGATACTTCGTAACGAAGAAATGAGGGAAAGGCAATTGCAATTTAATTAACAACAGAGGAAAAAGAAATGAAACAATAATGGAGGGTTTGGACGTTGCAATAGATAAAAGCAAGAAAAGTGGACAAAAAAGTGGGACAGGCCGAGGGATCGATATTGTATAAAGGTGAAGGCTTAAACAAATGAAGAGCAGAATCAGAGTACCGGGGTCACATGGCGTTCGTCCAAAACGACACCGCCGAATAGCCTCTCTGTTTTTTCATTCGTCCGTTTCGATACCATTATCAGCCTAATCTCTCACGCTTGATCTCATCTCCCACTCAAATCTTGTCTCTGTAATATTAAATGCATCCATTCGTTTAAATACACGGTTAATTCTTACCTCAAATTTATCGAAACTGATGATGCAGGTATCACAGACCCGCGCACCCGTGAGTGGGAGTAGTTTACAAAGGATAAGGAAATCAATCGGTGCACGTGCGCCACAGTCCTTCATATATTGCTAATACTCCCTGTCAGATGCTGCCATTCCTTCCTCCCTGTTTACTCTGCACATTTTAAATTTAGATCTGAACGTTATGTGCCAATTGACCAGGTTCATCTCACCCTCATCTTCTACCTTTCTCTTCTCCCTCATTAGTGTTAACCATTCATATTCCGAATAAATAAGCCGGCCTTCGTATCAATGCTATCCCGTTCCGCTTAATTTACCTTGTTTGTCGAACCCAGTCAACAAACGTCCATCAGGGGAGTTACAACTTACAACATATTGCTGTAATGAATAATTATCTCATTGCTCGATAGACAAATTTTGAAAACTAAAGTTTTCTACCACAATCATGCACGTGCAGTTCTCAAATTTCAGCAAATAACGAAATCCCTTTTCATGAGTAAAATTCTATACCCACCGCTTCATCAGAAGTTAGTTTAAGCAAGACGGGTTGCGCACAGCAAACAGATCAAGCTTAGCTTGAGAAGAAGTTGAGGGATATATGATATGGGATTAGTTAATCATTCAAGTGGAAGGAGCTATCAGTTATGAATATACCAGTATTTTTCAACGGTCAACCACGAACATATTAAACAATTTTAGAAGCTGCTTGGTTCGGTGGAACAGGCATGGAAAACGATCCGTCGTTGACAGTTTATGTGTGTATAATTGGAAAGCACTGCTTGACGCGTAGGGTGATGGGACCGATCACTGATATGCTGGTCACAGGCTCACAGTCTAAGCACCCACTAATTAGATATGTATGCTGTTAATTACCTATTACATCGTTGGCAGAAAAATAATTACCTGTTGCATCGCGCATCCATACAGACAACAGTCATGTTCACCCTGCTTCATCCAGGGAAATATATATATATATATATATATAAATTTTGACAAACAGTATTTCCCTGGATGGAGTAGGTATTTTCTCGCTTTATTTTAAAATAATTGTCCCTTCGAGTTTTTATTTTGCTTCAAAATATTTTTTTTAACAAAAAATCATATATTGATTACTTTTGTGAAATAATATAAAGCGCTGGACAGAACAGTTCACCTTAAACCCCCTGCAAATGATTGCGACTTGCACTGGTTTTATTTTCCTTAAAAGAAATTATGTGGAAAGAATATTTAATTAACAAGGCTTCAGTACAAAATATCCAAAATGAACACCTCAACAACCAAGAGAAGCCGAACTAAAAACGTAACCTTGGCAATTAATGCGTTAGCGTGTAAGAATTATCTAACCTCTAGCAAAGCAAAGGCAGTATCATCATCAATCTGGCCAGTCTTCACGCTTCATATATCTTGGCATGCAAAAACTCTCATTTTCATCATCAATTTCAATGCCCATCTCCAAATCACCCAGTTCTCATTTAAAATGACATTCCTGCCGAAATTGCCTTTTTGTGTGGGCCGGGATTTATTTTTAGGCCACCTGCTTTATAAATTATAATCACACAGCACATAATAGTATTAAATTAAATTTCGATACTGTTTCATATAACAGTTAACAGTCATGTGTACTTGGCTATTTACCTCAGTCATATTATTTGTCTTCTTTGAGCTTTGTCTAATGGAATATGTAACAATTTCATGACAATATATATATATATATATATATAACAATCACGGGTAATGATTTAAAATTTGATCCTTATGAATGAAAAATTCAATTATTTGTTCATTTGAAATTTAAAATATTTAAATATGAGTATTAATATAAAATATAAAAAGTGTAAAAAAAATCATAATTTATGAAATATAGCTTCCATCTCTTGAGTTTTATAAAAATACATGAGATTCTCCTGGGCTTAAAGAAAAATTAATAGTGGATTCATAAGATTTTTCTGAGGGTCTTTCCTCATGAAATGAATGGGCTCCGTTGGGCTTGCGAGGCCCTTAGAAATGTCTTTTTTTTTTTTCCAGAAAAGGCCGAAGAAACCTATTAACTGTCCGTGAAAAGATTGACAAAGCCCAGATGTACATTTCAGTTGGAAGGAAAAATAAAATAAAAAATACTAGTTAGAGTTGTCAATGTGAGCCAACTCAAATTTAAATTGGATAATTATATTTTGTACAGATATTGAATACTTATATCATTTAAATTCTTAAAATTTTAATCAACGATTCGGATAAATTTATTCATTCGTTAATCTCAAATGAAGCATATGTTCATAACTATTGAAATAAATTTTAAAGGTTTGGATGAGTACATGTATTAAGTATAGTTATCGAATTTAAATTCAGTTTTATTTATTAAAAGGTTTGTTAAAATAAATTCAAGTTATTTATTTTTTCAAAAGGAACCATAAATGAAATAGATGTATGATTAAAAAATAATTTGCATTTGAATTTGGAGTGCTGAATCGGTTGCGCAACCCATCCAACTCTCTGTAGTTGACACACAGCCAACAATTAATTCTTATGTCATTTTCCCATCCCTTCTCGCACCCTGGGTTGCTGTTTCCTGTAGTAATTCACTTAAACTTGAATGCAGCTGCAGCTGAACTGTCCTCGAGGTGGTTGGTAGGGTCCATCACTCGGTTTGCCCCATTCGTGAATGTCTCCTTCCCTATAATTTATTGCGTTTCCCTGTAAAACTGCCAATTCTCCAAAATTGTGCTCTTCTCTCCCCTTTACGGCCAATCGTCGTTTAGCTTTCTCAGAGACGACAAATCAGATATCCTACTTTTATTAATTATGCCGTGCCAAATTGACAATATGTTGTGCTCCGTGACTTGTGGGCAAAGTTCCAACCATGAGAGAAAGCCATGATTCATTTTTCCCCATCCATTCGGAAATGCAAGTCTCACATCCAAAAATATAACAGGACAGATGTGAAGAGTCGTGCTCGTGGCAATTTCAAGTAATTTTTGTGATATGGACTTGTCAAGTACGATTCTACCGAGAATTTATTTGAATGTGGTAATTGATCAGTTCAGGAATAAGTGGGGCATGTAATTGAAAGGCAGAAATTAACTTGAGCAGAAACTGAAAATCAGTGGAGATCAAACAATGTTGAGCAGTATGCATATATAGAGCTAGATTATTTAAAAAGTTAGCATTCAGATATTAAAACGAAATAGTAAAAATAATTATATATAAAGGGACAATAGATCAGTAAAATGTTGTTTTCATAATCTGTTCCCGTTAATAATTATCACCATAACCCCTTAAACAGTGCGGTATCCAACAATGACATATAGTGTACAACACAGCAAAATAGAAACCAAATTCACAGAAACAATGAAAATGGCGGTGCAGGATGTTGTGGAGATTGATGATAATTGATATAAGTGATAACTTATTATCATATACAAATCTCCACCCCCGTCCAACCACTCCAGCGCTATAGGGTATAGTTTCCCTTATACATGCCCCCTTTTCTTTCTTCTTCTTCAGCTTCTCTGTAAAATCAGAGATGATGACAGAGCTCAGCTCAGAAAATCAGGCATTTGGACGTTTTCCAGATCCTCAAGTTGGTGGATCCAGCCATACTTCTCCAAGAAAGGATTGGCCAAGCACTGTGGTGGATACTCATCAATACAATCTTCCCACACATTGGCGTCCTCAAGATGCCTCATGACCTCCCACAAACAGCTATTGCATTTAAAGCCTGCACCGAAGCTTATCATCAGTATTCTCTCTCCTTTCTTCAGCCGCTTCTTGGCCTCCATGTACCCCAACACATACCAGAGGCTACTCGCCGACGTGTTCCCAAAACGGTGCAATGTCATCCTTGCTGGCTCCAGATCATACTCATTCAGATCCAAGCTCTTTCCCACCCCCTCAATCACTGCCTTTCCTCCTGTGTGCAAGCAAAAATGATCAACCCCGGCCTTGAAATTCAATGGCGATTTGGCCATTCCCCCGCTTGAGGTCTTGGCGCTACTATTTTTGGTGAGCTTCTTCACAAGGGACATCACCATGAATCTCATCAACTCTCCAATGGGCAAAATCTTGGGGGACATAACCCTTAAATTATCAACAAAGGCCCTCGTAGCTGCTTTTGGGAGAGACTTCCCGAGGTGAAAACCCGGCCGTCCTTCCTCGTCTTCCTTTTGCATGCAGCACCCGAATGACTCGTCTCTGGCCCCGTGATGAGTTCTCACCAGGCACTTGAGTCTCAACATGACCCTGTGCTTCAGACTCCTCTTGTTTGTCAAGAGAATAGCACACCCACCGGTACGGAACAAACAGTTCGCGAGAATCATAGACTTGTCCTTTCCAGAATACCAGTTTGGACTCAGAGACTCCGAAGTCACCAGGAGAGCCAGCTTGTTCTTCTGGGTCTTGAAAATATTGTTGATTACGTCCAGAGAAATGAGGCTGGCGCTGCAACCCATCCCAGTGAGATTGTAAGCTTTGATGTCATCCCTCATTTTGTAATGGTTAACGATGCGGGACGACAAGGAGGGGACGGCGGCGGACAGGGAGACGTTGACGACGAGGACATCTATGTCGGAGGGAGAAAGCCGTGATCTGGACAAGAGCTTGGCGATGGCGTCGTGGAAGAACTCGTCCAGTTCCAAGCGGGCATCCTCTAGGGTGGGCTGGGCTTCGCGGCCCAAGAAGAAGTTCCTTGGGGCGTAAGTTTGCTCGCCAATGCCGGAGCTGACTATGGCTTTGAGCAGGAACTTGTACTCGTCGAGGCCCAAGTAAGGATTCCTGGCGATGATCTTGCCGCAAAATTCAGTGCCAAGCTTTCTGTCATCCGGCGGCTTATAGCACTGGTAATCTAAAATGAAGCACTCGCGGTCTTTTCTCTCGTCGAACACCTTCCACATCATGAAGCACAGATACAACGCCGGAACAATGCAGAGTAAAGTGAGAGGCTCCATGAGAGAAGGAAAGATCGATGCAGAACAAGGCATGGGGTGGTAATATATATATATATATATATATAAGGAGGGATAAGAGGACGGGGGGTATGAATGATGATGAGGACGAGTTTGACAAGTGTCAATATAGCTCAACCCCCAACAAACTGATCTCTTTTCCAACTTTCGTGTTAAACTTTATTGGCAAGATGAAAAACAAAGGCCACTTTCTAGTCACACCTTGCGCATGTGACGCAAAGAGTTTTCTTGCTTCCCCGAGTCAGTAAAATCCGAACGCCACCGTCACCGTGTTGTGTCAGCCTGGCATGGCCGTGGGTATCGAGTTCACAGTTAGTAGCTTACCCAACGTCGTCGTCTTCATTTAAGGAATGTGAGCTGTGGTAGCTAGATACAGGGCAATAATGTAACTCATCTTGCATATTAAATAAGAGCGTGGCTGCGCTGTGGTTAATTGTGTGAATTGGTTCATTTTATTGATATGTATGCAGGAAAAAAAAAACAAAAAGCGAAGGTGATAAAAGGTCGCGTTGCGCTGGCTGGCTGGCTAGGTGTCACCAGTGCATTAAAAGTGTCTCTTGGTATTTTACATGGAATGAAAATCTTTGTCAAGTTACTTGCCATTGGGGGACAAAAGCTGCGTTTTTACCGTATGAGTCATTAGAAAGAGAAGCGGGGAAATTGTTGGCTAAGTCACTAAGGCCCCGTTTGATAGCTTGGAATCATGGAGAAAGAAATGGAATTGGATATGGAATCTGTTAACATGTGTATTTGATATGCAATAATTATGATTCTTTGGAATCAGAATTCAAGGAAATTTGGCAGAATCCAATTCCATCACATGCATCATGGAATCCAATTCCATGGTTCCCTTTCTCCAGTTTGCCCCTTCTCTCTCCTCCAATATAATTTTTTTTAATTTTAAAAAGGATACTTTAGTCTTTTCTTATTTTAAGTACTTATATTTTATTAAAATTATATCAGGATTCCATCATCATACCAAACACACTTTTAAATTCAATTCTATTTCAATTCCAATTTCAATTCCGATTCCAATTTTGATTTCGATTCCATTAAAAACTCTTCCATCAATACCAAACATGGCCTAAGAGTATTAATGCCTTAAAATCGAATTAATAATTTAATATCCTTCAGCCACTGGTTTTGGTTTGGTGAAATTAATTTCCTTTCCCTTGATCTGCATGTGCCGAGCTTCTTTATTTCTCCCCCTCTCCATCATATTATCAACGCATGTCATTTCAAAGTCAACCATGTCAACTCCCAACTAATTTGTATTTATTTTGTTCCGAATGCATGCATGGTCAAACCTGATTATTTCAAAAGCGTTTAAATGATAGATAATGAATAATATATTTATTCTTATGTCTTAATTACCAACCTTACACTAATAAACCAAATAAATAATTAAACCTGACGGATGATATTGAGTACGTAGAAATATATATATTAAGGAAAGATATGAAGAGGTTTCAAATCTATTCACCCACGTATAAATTTTTCAGTTTTGATAATTTATGATTGTGAATAATATAATCGAGAGATCTCACTGATACTTATTTCTTTTATGTGAACTAGATAAAGCAAGCTTTATCTTAGAATTTATGTGAAGTACTATTGGGTGAAGTATAAATCTCGAACTACAAAAACTTTAGACATAACTTTTAACAGTTTACGATAACTTGATGAAATTGTGCACCTTATTACAAATTATGACAGCTAGTCGCATGTAATTAATTCAGTTGGTATATAAAGTGGAATGATATGGGTCATACCGTAATAGGCTAATAGCTAATATAACTCAAACCTTTTTATGTTAAAAAGGTGGTTTAATAGCTAATAGCTAATAGCTAATAGCTAATATATTTCCTCTTCGTTCTTAATTATAAATATAAGTTATTTCAAACATACATATCAAGCAAACACTGAAAACTAGCTAGTTGGTGTGTAAAAGTTCCCCCCCCCCCGGTTCTAGCTACCCTTAATTAAATATGTTCATAGAAATGTTCACCTTCATTAAGCGATATGGTTCCAAAATCAATTAAGTGTACCAAAACCATATATAATTTTACTAAAAATTACCCAAACACCTCATTTTTCACAAAATTGATTCTTTTGACCAGAACCACGTTTTGCCTCGAGCTCAAAAGAGTAGCTTTCAATGAACAATTGTATCTGTTGGGGCAATTATTACCTACTAGAATTTTTAATCTACCAAATAAGACCCAGGATGCCTCCATCACTTTTCTTTATTCTCGCAAAAATGTGAAAACTCTCTGATACGATCTTTGTCTCTTCTTTGCTACAACCCCATCTCCTGGTTTGATCTACGATCTCCATATCCTCCATCTCTGACCTGCAATTGTTGTTAGAGTTCATCGGTGCATCTCTCCGTTCCCTTCCACGAAGGTCGTTCTCTGCTATTTTCTCTATCCAAGTCCATCTAATGCGGCATCCTCTCCTCCTACTGTGTCTTTCTTGTGCTTTCCTTAAGCCTTTTGAGTTTGATTCGGTGATCCTCTTTGGGTGCTTTCTAGTAATTTGGTGTGACATCCACGGCTCCAGGGGAATAATATATATATGTATATATTTTATTACAATATTACATTATATTAATATTAATATAAATTATATTAAAAGATAACGTAATTTAAATTGTCATTATTAATCAGACAATATATATGTTAAAACCAATGTACTTTATTATAATTTACACATTTAAAATTAATTTTCACTAAAATATCCAAACATTTTTAATTATGTCAGAATCAATTTTAGAAAAATAATATTCAAACATAATTACATTATAACATAATCAATTATAATTAAAATTAATTATATTAATTAATTTTTTTGTAATCAATTATATTCAACCGAAATACAAACGTGCACTAAGTCAGGTAGGTAATTTCAATATTTTGTAAGTGGTGCTGCTCTAAAAGATGTCTTAGTTATAACTAAAATTTCTTAATAAGACTTGTAATAAGGAATGCAACAAGTTTAATAAATTATAATTTATAATTAGATATATGAAGAGACTATATGTGTGTGAATGAATTATCTATGTTTTAAATGTCCTAGCTCTCCCATGGCTGAGATTTTTAATTATTTGCAACTTAACTAGTTGTTTGCAATTTTTTTTTAAATATCAAAACCTAACCATCATTAAATTGATATTTTGGAATTTTTTTTTTGAAGTAATGACATTTTAGAATTTTTTTGTCGTTAATTCTCCTAAGAATTTTTCCCTTCCTCTCCAATATTAAATCATCAGCTCTTCATTCTCAAAGTCAACCTCAACTGCCAACCAACAATCGTCTTAATTCTGTCTCGGATGCGTCTTTCTCTTCCTCTCCAGTACATCATCAACACTTCATTTTCAAGGTCAGCCTTTTGAATTATTCAAATGATCCTGTCTTGTGCCCATTGTATCAACAGTAGAGACAAGCAAGTTAAAACGACACGCTTCTGCTTCTGGTGACTAAAATCATGCAAGCACTGTGGTTACTCTTGTAGTCTTGTTGATTTCTCGATCTCGTGCTCGGAAAGGATTAATGCATATCAAATTCAATCCACTTCTAGTATAAATGATGTAACAATACAATACGATTCTCTCCTAAAATTTCAGGAAATACACGCTGAAGGCATACCAGGTTTGAATGAAAACGATATTGCACAAATTTAATGGAAGCAAAAACTTTGTCGAACAAATTTAACTCAATTGATTTACAAATAAAAAAAAAAGATATAAGATATGTAGTTTCATGATAAAAATATATATGTATATACATTTTGCATTGTTACTTTAAAATAGAACGATAAACTTTCTAGATCAATTATCATGATGGCATTACATACGCTACAAAAATATTACCTCTACTTCGATATTCATTAAAAAACACGTGCTAAATTATAAACGAAGTGCAACACAACGAAATTTATATAGTTGAGCAGCTAAGTGAATGATAAAGTGGGATAAAAACTTGAAGAAAATTCTAGTGGTTACACTTACACGCATCATGGATGGAGCAACAGACGCCAATAATATGCGATTCCCATTGGCTGATCTACATTTTTTGAAAAGCATTTTTTAATAATAAACGCTACCAATTTTTACTCCTCACAAATGAACATCGAGCATGCATGCATCTCTTCCCCTATCACGTCAGTGTCCTTTTCTTCCACAGTGCACATGATTGGACCGCTCATTAATTCCTCACTTTCATCTTTCAGTTGCCGCCGGTTTCAGTAATTTGGATCTCTCATCTCCACTCGTTCCCTGTAAAATACGTTTCATTATACAATCATACAACTGGCCATCCATAACAAATTGAAATTTCCATCCAAGTCTCGAGACAATGAAATGGTAGAGGATTCGTGTTCTGTATGCATACTTGAGAGAGTTCACTCCCAAGACACATAAGCATTTAACGAGAGTGTAGAAATTGAAGGTGCCAGCTTGAGGAATTGAGTGGCACATGGGAGGAAGGAACTTGTGGTGCAACATATAAAGGGCTGGCAATCAGCAGTAGTTGACAATTATCAGTTTACTAGTGCAAAATAGTATTTTAAATAACAATAGTAAAAATATATAGATGATAGTTATTATGGCTTCAGTAAAATGGATCAGAAGTCATAATACATATTCTTTTTTTTTTTTTTCCGTAGCCATGAATTATGGCTTCTAGTGTAAAATATAACAGAAGCCATAATGCGTGTACTTTTTTTTTTAAAAAAATATTCATGTATTATAGCTTTTCATGCGACATGGATCAGAACCAATAAAACAATTCAAAACCCACCTTTCCTTCCAAAACAAGCTACCTTAATTATTCTCCAAGTCAAAATATAATTAGTTCTCCTGCAGATCAATTTTCGTTTTATGTTATTTGAAGAACATGAATAAAATAAATTTTAATAAATAATATTTTGGTAATAATATAATTAAATTTGATTGATAAAAATTATTACCAACATTTATTATGTTTTATTATAAATG